GGTCACCAGATTCGCATCCCACCTGTGTTGATCAAAAATATGTCTCTGTTCTAATAATGACATAAACAGGTTGGCGTAACTGGGTGCGAATCTGGTGCCCATCACCGTACCACAAATATGGAGATAAAAAGTGCCATAGTGCCAGAAATAGTTGTTAGTTAAAATCCAAGAAATACCCTCTAATAAAAAATCTGTTTGAATTTGTGGAAATTTACCTGAAGTCTCTAAAAAATGCTGAGTAGCTTTGCATCCTTTATCATGATTGATGATGGTGTAGAGCGAGCTAACGTCAGCTGTAACTAAAAAATAATTATCCTCCCATTTGATATCCTTTAAAATTTGTAAAATGCTAAGGGTGTCTTTTAAATAGCTTGGGCAGTTTTGAACAATAGGGTGTAGGCAGTGATCGATGTATCGTGATAGCCTACTGGATGTGGGTCCTATGCCCTAGACTATTGGACGCCCTGGTGGTTTAACTAAATTCTTGTGGATTTTCGGGAGATAATAAAATATGGGGATTTTCGGATGTTGCACATTTAAAAACTCCAACTCTTTTTTACTTAAAATGCTAGTTATTTTCCCCCTATCAATTGGTTGTAGCTTATTTTCATACCAGTAGTTGGATCTTTGGGTAACACCCGATACGTCAGAGTGTCTCCCAATAGTCTATTAGACTCTTCTAGATTGTCGCTCTCTTCCAAGAGTACAATTCCACCCCCCTTATCAGCCGGCTTAATGAGTAAAGGTTGGTCATTTTTAAAATCTTTCAAAGCCTGGCATTCAGCAAAATTCAGATTGTAACTAGTATTTTTGGGATTTTTCAACTTATTAACATCATGCATGACCATCTTTTTCAAAATGTCTTAGTCAGGGAAAACTTTAAACCTTTCTCTAATAGAGACTTTTGTGGGGCTGTTAATTCCCTATTGGTTAAATTAAAAATTTCATTGCTCTTTATGTCCTTTCGTTTCTTCCTTTTTTGTACAAAAGCTCCTCCTCTATTTCCCCTTCCTCTATAGTCCTCTCTCTTTTGTTGGGTGATTTGTGGGGCAGACGAGGAGCCTTGTGTCTCCCCTTGCTCTGTGTATTCCAAAAATCCTGTTGTTCCGGTGCACATAAAATGGGGGAGAATCTATTGTGTCCATATGCATAATTACCCATATCTTGGATGGGTGACTCTTCTAGCAAATGGGGATCTATCTTGTTGTCTATATGTTTGACAAGGGTACCTCTCTCTTGATGTATGTGTCCGTGTATAGTGACGTTCTTGGTAAGATTGTCCATTCATATATGCAGTATTTTTCCTTCTAACAACCCCATCCGATGTGTTACGTTCCTCATTAAAAAGAACTCGTCTATTCCTCAATCTAGGGGGAGATTGGTTATATGTAGGTATATCAGTGTCCCTACGAGTTTTTTGTTGGCGATTGTCTAACCTCCTATGTAATGGTGTAGATGGCAACTGCTTAAACTCTAATTGGCTAGTTCTCCTAGAGTATGTATCACTATTGGATCTATTGGTGTGGTTATATCCTGAGATTTTCTTTGGAGTATTATGTTTTTTCCTGGAGTATGTGAATATTCTCCCATTTGCGTAATCATCCTTATCTCTCAAGTATTTCCTCTTTTTTGTCTCTTTATCAAGGCTTGTTGGGCAGCCAAATACCCATGTTAAATATTTTCTGTTCGTGTCTAGTTAGGCCTTCAGTATGTCTAGAGACGAGGCATGCCAAGGGGTCTACTGTTTGTTGACTGTGTAAGATCCAGGAGCCTAATCCTACGACCTTTTTCCAGAAGTCACTGACCTTGGAGCAATGCCACCACATATAAATGTAGCTCCCTTGATCACCACACAGACTCCAGCATGTATCTGTAGATGTGATCTTCATATGATATTGCTTCCCTGGAGTGGTGTACTACCTGAAGAGAGTCTTATAAGAATGTTCTTGGAAGGTTACACAGATGGATGATTGCGCAAATGCTTCCCAGATATCTTCCCATTCCACACCCTCTAATACTTTCTCCAGGTCAGTTTCGAAGGAGGCCTGTTTTTTTAATCTATCATTAATCTATCTATTACCTCCTCCTTTGGGCTATTGCAATGGGCTAATTCTCCCACACATGTTGCTGGCAATACCCTAGATCTTATTTTTTCAAATGCATGCTCAGTCTCCAATCTCTGAAATACTTAATTTCCTCTATCAGAACATCATCTCCTATCATTTGTTCTCGAGTGCGCCCACACTCAATACCCTCAACCTAACCCCCATGCAACTTAGGAGGAATCTGAATTCTCTTGACCTCCAGAAACTCTCAGCTGATCTCAATTCCAAACTCTCATCCACCCCTACCTTCTCCTGTCCCTCTCTGGCTACCTCCTCATATAATGCTCTCCCAACTCTGCCCTTGATGCTGCAGCCTCACTCCAAGCACACTCCTCAAGGAGGACGCGCATCTAACTGTGGCACACTAAGTCACCCCACTACCTACAGGGATGCACCCATTCAACTGAGGAAGTCTTGCACCTTGTCAGACTTTCTACACTATAAATTTGTCTTGCACTCATGCAGTGCAGCCCTCACTCTTGCACTCTTGCTAAACAGTCCTACTTTTCTTTTCTCATTAGTTAATGCTCCCGCAATCCTAAGCACCTCTTGAATACTTTTAACTCTCTTCTTCACCCTGTTGTGGCCACCCCACAAACGAATTACTTTACTGACAAGATCAAACAGTTAAGGAATGAATTCTCCATCCTTCTCCCCTCTCTAACTCAACCTCACGTGGACCATACCATCCCTACCCTCCAAGACTTCCCTCCAGCTACTGAACAGGAGGTGGCTGCGCTTCTCCTCTCCACTCGTCCCAGCACCTGACCGCTTGATCCAGTACCTCCCCACCTCATCAGAGATCTCACCCCTTGTCTTGTACCATCCTTAACACACATCCTAAACTTCTCTCTTTCATCTGGTGTTGTCCCTGCTCCGCCTAAGCATGCTACTGTCGTACCCATCCTAAAAAAGCCATCCCTAGACCTGTCTTCCACTTCCAACTATCGTCCCATATTCCTGCTTCCTTTTTCCTAAAAGCTTCTAGAAAGACTTGTCTTTACTCGTATGACTCACTTCCTAAATTCCATATCCTCGATCCTCTTCAATCTGGCTTTCGCCCCCTCCAATCTACTGAGACTGCTCTTATCAAAGTTACAAATGACCTAATCGCAGCCAAATCCAAAGGCCACTACTCCATACTAATTACTCTCAACCTCTCTTCTGCCTTTGACACTGTTGATCATGGCCTCCTTCTCCTAACTTTTCAATCTCTTGGTCTCTGTGACACAGCCCTCTCATGGTTCTCCTCCTATCTCTCCCAATGCTCCTTTAGTGTCTCTTTTTCCACCAGCCCATCCTCTCCTCATCCTGTCTCAGTCCAAGTCCCTCAAGGTTCAGTTCTTGGTCCACTTTTGTTCTCTCTCTATACTGCCTCTCTTGGTAAACTCATTTGGCTGCCACTACCACCTGTACGCTGATGACACCCAGATACATCTCTCCTCTCCTGACCTCTCCCCTGCTGTCCTACACGGTGTCACCAATTGCCTTTCTTCTATCTCTGATTGGATGTCCTCCCGCTTTCTGAAACTCAATCTTTCTAAAACAGAGTTTCTTATTTTTCCTCCTCATAACACTGATCCTCCTCCTTCACTCTCCCTGCAGGTTGACGGTTTCTGCCTCACCCCATCCTTTCAAGCTCGCTGTCTTGGTGTCACTTTTGATCCTGGTCTCACCTTTGCACTTCATGTCCAGTCTGTTGCTAAAACCTGTCAATTCCAACTTAAAAACATTGCCCGCAAACGCCCCTTTCTTACACAAGATACTGCCAAGGAACTTGTTCATGCTCTAGTAATCTCTTGCATCGATTACTGTAATTCTCTCCTTAATTGGTCTCCCCAGAAGCTGTACTGCCCCCCTACAATCTGTGGTGCATGCTGCTGTCAGGCAGATTGTATTCTCCTGTCGCTCTTCTCACACCTCACCCCTCTGTCGATCCTTACACTGACTTTCTGTCCCCTACAGGTTTCAATTTGAAATACTAACCCTTACCTATAAAGCTTTAACCAACTCTTACAGTTCTTCACTGATTCATAGGTATATCCCCTCTTGGTTTCCCCGCTCTACTGGTGACATTCTCCTTACAGCTGCTTGCACCCTTACTGCAAATTCACATGTGCAAAACTCCTTTCCTTTAGAACAGCCTGCCTACCTCTGTCAGACTCTCCCCTAGTCTTCGACCCCAAGATTAAATTCTATCTCTCAAACCTGCCTCTCGCTCTCTCCTATAGTGCCACACTCCACTCTTACCTCCAGCTTTGCTACTTTCCCACCATGTCTATTTGCTACTTTGCCACCATGTCTATTTGCCTTTCTATTGTGTTTTTATACCCAACCTCCTCTAGACTGTAAGCTCGTTTGAGCTGGGTCCTCAACTACCTATTGTTGCTGTAACATTTGGTTATTTAGTAAATTATCCCTTTATTGTAAAGCACTACGGAATAAGCTGGAGCTATATAAATACCAATAATAGTGATAATAAATAAAAAGTTATATCTCCTTATTTATGTAAATGTGTACATATCATTGGAGGCCTGTGTGTTTGATCCCCCTTAAGTCCCTTGCGTTTAGACCCGGCGAGAAGGCCCTGTTCCTGAGAACTAGGGTCATCGGGGAGGGAAGTTTGCTAAGGAGGTATTTTGATGCAGTCAAGTCCCATATCCTAACAGAGTTTAGTATTGCCGGACATGTTGTCCTCAGGAAAGTTCTGGGTACCCATATAAAGAATTTGGGCAGGTCCGCTCCCATCAGGAGTGATTGGATATCTACCCAACATCTCTGGTAAGTCTCTACATTTACCTGTCGCAGCACTCTGATATGTTGGCTTGAAATCCAACCAATCAGAGTGTTCAGCGTAATTTTACACAGCGTGGGGAAGTTCTTTGGAATTTTCCCATGCTGTATAATTTGACTCATAACCCTCTGATTGGTTGCTTTAAAAAAAATATAGCAACCAATCAGAGTGTTATGAGTCAGATTACACAGGGCCTTGTGTCCCTGAGGGTGATGTCCAGAACCATTTCATTGTTCGAGAGCTCTAATGAGAGAAGAACGTAAACAGTAAACATAAATATAAATTTCAAATGGATAAATGTAACACATGTTCCCAACACAGGGTGGCAGCTCCCAGCCCCAATCTGCTGTGAGTCAATAAGTAAGACCCACACACTACTTCATGCAGTATAAGGTCGAATTTGGAGCTACTGAGCAATATCCTACACACTTTCCTCCTTTCCACGAGGGCTGCCCTGGGATTACACCCCAGTCATTCTCTTCCCCTTAGAAGCACCCAGTGGGACGATCAATAAGTCTTAAGTACAGCATAAGGTTGGCACTAGGTTTCCGGCATAAGTGAAGGCCCTCAAAAAACGTTCAGAAGCTTGTTTTAGTTATAGTGTCTGGGGACCTCCTTTGATACTTAGCATAAGTCTGTAAACGACTAGTGAAGTGGTGTTGAGGCTGCATAGTTACAGCTATAAGTGGTAAATTATTTTTACATTTTATTGGTGATTATTTTGCGTCTATATATATATATATATATATATATATTTGTGTACGGCACATTAGAGGAACGTATGGTTGTGGTATTATGTAATTTAATAAGAACAAAAGTCGGTTGAGGTGTGCCGAAAAAGGTTAGACCTGTAAAAAGAGGGCAAAAATTATGATAACAATTTATTTTTGCAAGACATTCTTTATTTAGCAAGACATTATTTAGACATTTCATGGAAAGCTAGTCTGATTTCCGGGTTCACAATGTACCTGTTATATGCAGAGGATTTCCAGTGTCCCGTGTTCTTAATGATATGTGTTGGTATATGACTACTGGAAGCTCAGTGGCTGCCCCAATACAAAATGAATGGCCAGAGAATGAATGTGGATTGTGTCCTAGCCTGAGTAACAGTGTGCGTATGTATAGCATGAATTGTTTGGTGGTTAGAGGTTTCCCTTGAATGGCTAATAGTGGTTTGCTGTAAACTGCTCCTTAACTAAGTTATCCATTATTTGTATTGGACATCATTTGGTAGAGGTAGGGTAATACTTTTTTCCTACTGGGGGGCCAGTCTGGCTAGTTTTGGTATGAGGGATTGACAGGATATAATGGTCGTCCATTTTTGCTAAGTGTTTTTCCTTAAGGCATGACTTAAAGTCGGATGCTTTCTCCACACAAAATTCTTTGGGTCTCAAGAAACCGTAAAAAGCTATATAGGCTATGGGTTTGATTACCAGATTAGTGAAACTGTCGAAAGGGTTGTTGACTAATAAGTTGGAGATGTTCCTAAATAGGTTACTATCTATCGGAAGTCGTTTAAGGGGATTATGAAGTGTTAGTCTCTGAATACCTCTCAGGACATTTTTGACTGGATAAGAGGTTTAGATTGGAGCTTTGTTTGGGTAAATAGTTAACATGTAATGTTGTATGCCTGTTAAGTAAAGTTTGATTGCATTGTATGCTAATTTCAAAGAGATGTGGCAAAAAGTTGTGAACGCAACCATGGTTTCTATGGAAAAAACATTTATTATATTATATTCACGCACAAATTTTTAAAACAGATCTTTTTTAGTATTGATTGATAAACCAGCTTGTGCTAGCGACCTACTGTGATTTAACAGGGTATTCAAAGCATAATTAGGTCTGTGAACTGTGGAGGTTCTTTGGGCTGCATGTTTGCTGCCAGATGAATTCTGCTATTCCAAGAGGATAAGAAGAGATGCCATATTCTTAAGTCAGCCCTAGCTGATTCATCTAAGTTAGTTTTGGAGTCGCCGTGTAGAAGAGAGAGAATTCTAGACCTTCCTGGAGGAATAATCCACATAGCGAAGTTGAGTGAACCTAGAAGTAATTGTAGCTCTTTCCTGGTGCAAGACCCCTGTGAGGTGCAGATTTCAATACATGTTAAAATCCTATCTACCTTTTCTTGAGGCAGGCTAGTTTGCATGGAAACTGAATTTAGTGTGATACCCAGGAACGTTATCTTGGTGTTGGAACCTTCTGTTTTGTCTGGGGCTACCGGAACTTTCAGAACTTCAAATAGTGAAAGCATGTGATGTAGACTGCATGGTGTGAAGTGGTGTGGTTCAATGGAGAGAAAATCATCCAGATAGTGAACCACTACTGGACATCTGCTTTTGTTAAGTAAGAGCCAAGTCAAGGTTTCTGCGAAAATATCGAAGATTTTTGGGCTACTTTTGGACCCAAAGTTAGTCTAGTTGCGAAATAATACTTGTTTTCCCACTTAACACCATGCAGATGCCAGAGTGATTGATGAATTGGCAGTAGTTTAAATGCATTTGTAATGTCTGTTTTACTTAACCAAGCTGCCTTTCCGGAGTTAATGATAGCTTGTATGGCATCGTCTATTCTTGCATATTGTAATGTCAAATATTTCGATGATATACGTGCATTTAAACTAGGTGTAGTAGAAGAGTGAGGTGCTGAAAAATTGATGATGAGTCTTTTTTATTGTTAATTTTTCCTGTAGCTATGCCTAGAGGGTTTATCCTCCACAAAGTGAAAGGTGGGGTAGTGAAGGGCCCTATCATGAAACCATTCTTGATTTCTTTATTGAGAAGTTCCTGCAGACTACTTTGTACTGTGAGTGCAGATTGTAGGTTGGGCATTCTAGAATTCCTGTGGGGAGTGCAACAAAGCCAGCATGAAACCCATAGGTGAGAAAGTCTACAAGATCTGAAGAAGAATAATCAGTCAGGTAACGTTGCAAATTGGGTACGTTTATTAGTGTTGAAGATCTTTTTGGGTACAATCTGTTTGGACACATTGTTTTGGTATGTGCTCTGAAACAAAGTGAACATAAGTGAAGGAGTCTGCAAGCACTGTAACTACATCCGCCCGCATTGAAATTATTACAGACTTGAGCCTTCCCCTAAAAAATGATAGGCCTGCCTAGTTTATCTCTCAATTCTCTTTGGGCCATATTGGGTTGAAATTCTGGGTTGGCATTGCTAGTGGAAGGTATCGCTATGTTACTGGGACATATTGCACATGATGGTGTTTTAAGACCAGCAAAATGTCTACAAAACAACTCTGTGTCTAACTGGCCCCAGTCTGTAGGAGTATTATATTTGGCCAGTGACGCAGCAGATCTTGAAGTGAAGGACTTGTGGTAATCGTAGAAGGCGTAGCGTCTGTACTGATAAGCTAAGTCTATCAGCTTGTGTAGGTATAAGTCTAGTTCCTCTCTACGGTGGGGAAAAGCATAACAAATAACATTCTTAAATAGGCCAAAGGCTAGGACAAACTCTGGGATATTTAACATCCTGTTACGTTTAGGGTCTCTAGACTTCATTGCCACGGATAAGTCGTCAAATGTGTATGACCTGTTCCCAATTGTGTCTTGTGATGCTATGAGGAGGGAGGGCAGATTAATATATTTGCCTTCTATAATGTCCCGTTTAATGTTTTGTGGAATGAGATGTACTGGGTTAATGATATCAGTACTTTTTGCGGGTAGAGGGTTAGCGTTACCTCCTGAGTTAGGATCTGGCTGGGCTATGGGTATGGTTGGCCGGTTATTGGGCTCCAAATTATCCAATTGGTTATTTATAGTGGCTACAGAAGTCATTAGGGAGGAGATCATGTTGTGTAGTTCTGACAAATTGTTTTGAATATTATATTCAGAACTAGGGCCAGGTCTTTCATTATCTTTGTGTGTATTTAACAGGCGAAATAGTTCGGCTTTCCTGGCTGTGGCAGGGAAGGGAATATTTTTCTTTTTAAGTTCAGCTGTAATTTTTGGTTTTGTCCAGGATCTGTAGCTGGAAGCTGGGCTGGCCAGTACGGTTTGCCTCGTCTGGGAACCTGGTCTGGTCAGGGTGCTGGCAACCGACAGATCATCTCCTTGTATTGAAGTGTTAGACATGCTATGGGTGTGAGGCAGATGACTTTGTTAATATGATATCCGGATGGATATGAAGTAGCCCAGCTCCCTAGTTTAATGCCCGATGGCAAAATTATATTATTCTAACTACTTTTTAGGTGACGGATGACACCCTTACTACTTGCTAAGTTTCTTTGAGAGTCTCTACCTATGATTTGGCTCATGGGGCTTTTGTGCCACTGAGGAAAGCAACGGGGTGTTGGCTTCTCGGTCATACTAATAAGAATTAATATTGATTGGCCGTGACAACCTGATGCAGTTATGAGTTGCGCCGATTGGGCTTGTACCTCTGAGTGTGAGGATGAGAGTTGGCCTTGCGAGACCGCTCAACTAAAGGCCTTTGAAAATTATTCCTAATTGGCGAGGGTTTTATACTAAAAGTTACTTTCTATTTTTTTTTTTTATACATACCTGCTAGTGGGCTGGTAGGATGTATTTGGCAACAATGACTTCCACTTGTTGCTAAAACATGTCATAATGAATGAGTTATAACCTGAACCTTCCCCCCTCTCCCCCCCGAAGTAGTTGTAGAGCAATGACAAGAACAATAACTGGGAAAGAAATCTAAATACTAACTGGTTTTGCTATTTGGGTAGAATTGGGGAAGCTTGTACTGGTCCTTGGAAGCATGGTAACTTGAGCTATCGATTGAGGGAAACAAACTGTAAATTGTTTTATTAATAGTCCTGGTTATACCAGAAACAAGACTGTAAGGAGGAAATAGAGATGGATCGTAACCTAGAGGCCTACCTCTTTAAATAATTGCACAGTTGTTTTTTTTTTATAAAGACTGGACCACGGCAAACCAATATCTGTAAATGTAGTATATTTTAAGAATGGAAAGAAAATAAACTTTAATCTAATTAACTAGAATTGACATAATAAGAGTTGACTTAACTATATCTCAATTGCTTAAACAGGCATTTAACCAAACAAATAAACATATAAAAGAAACGTAATGCATTTGAGAAAATGAGAACAGAATATATGCCACAGTTACATATTGAGCAAGTGATAAAAGTCTGTGAATGAACTAAGTGAATAAAATACAATAACAGAGACTAGGCTGGCTGATAGTAGGAAAGAGAAACGTAAT